TTCAATGTTGTAAAAATTTGAATTTCAAACGCTCATAAAAATTTAATTTGACTTTCTTATAGACATTTTTCTTTTGATAAAGGTATATAATCTTAAAAGGAATCTTGTGTTTAATTTTCAAATCTTAGATTTAAAAAGAAAAATTTTTACGAATTCTTAACTCAAAATAATTTGCTAATTTTCATGATTTTTCCATATTTTGTCAATTTTTGAACTTTAAACGCTTATAAAAAAAAATTGTGACTAAGGATTTTTAATATTTTTCATATGCCTTTGAAACAATATATTAGGAGCCTTCTATTAAATTTTCAAGCTTTCGCAACCAACAAATAAAATTTTATTGATATTTTTAGAAAAAAAACTAAAAAAAAATGGAAAATGAAAATGTCCCTAAACAGTTCAAAATAAATCAAAATATTTTGAAAATGTTATCGTGTATAGAAAATGCAAATATAAACAACCAGTGAAAATTTCATGTATATACGTTCATTTGTTTTAGAGTTACACCAAAAACCAAAATCGATTTTTTGGAAAACCAATTTTGCGTAAAAATTCCCGTTTTTCATTAATTTTTATGTTGTTTTTCCCGGCGCTTGTGAAAACTACTGGGAAATTTATACTTTTGACCCCCCAAAGTACCAACTAGATTCACTTTCCTATCAGAAAAGCTACTGATGAAGAAAATCCAAGCACTTTTACTGTCCTAAAACGTGATGACAGACACAAAAAAAAAAAAATAAAAAAAAAACACACACATCATTGTAAAATCAATACATTCATCGTTTCACTCAGACTCTAAAAATGATTAGTCAACGAGATCATGACAGTTGATGAATAGCCCCGTGACGTCATAGAGCCGACGAGTGAGCAGCCGTCCATGTTTTACGTGTAAAAGTAGTTTGATTTACACAATGGTTTTAATAACTTACGATAGTTTACTTCTAAGTATATTTTATGTGTTTAAGACGATGGTGTGATTTAAAATTGAATATATCTTGTTATTGTATACATATAATTATATAAACATACCTATTATAAATTACAATTAAGTAAAATTATTAAGTTCGTGATTCGCGTTGTATTGCCATATAAACCAAATGTACGAAATTTACTATAAAAAAAACTAGAAAGTATATCAAAATTATAATCATGACTGTGTCATAAACACAATAGAACACTCAGTTACATAAAAAAAATAAAAATAAATTATCTTTAAACGATTGAAATCGTTGTGATAATCTAGAGTCCAGACCAGTGTTTCTCAACCTGGGGGCCGCCAACTTATTATTTAGGGTCGCGTATGAATTAAAATTGTATGTATTATAATATGTATTTGTAAATATTTGGTATACGTATTTTTAATTAAAAATAATTATAATATTATATGTATTTTATGTTGCGTGTATAATGTACAGTAATTTTAGTATTAATTATTAATAATAATCTATATTCTGTGATTATATAAAAATCATATGTGTAGAGAGGGGGGGGGGGTCGCTAAAAAATTTAAATTAAATAAGGGGTCGCCACTCGCCTTAGTAAAAAGGTTGAGAAACACTGATCTAGACGACACTAAAACATACACCACATATTATGACGTATGAGGTCACACTCATATTTTCAGACGCCTATCTCATTGAATAATTAATGTTAAAGTGATCCACACCATATTTCTTTGATAATGACATACTCTTTAAATCTAAGCAAACTTGTTTTTAGTGTTGTGATGTCCTTTAAATTTGGATGGATCAAAAAATGTAAAGGTAACATTTTAATTTCCTGTTAATTAACTTAAAAAATAATTTGATTTAAAAAAAATGTATCTCTTAATTACATATTATATTTAACATACATATATCACGCATAAACACGAATATATCAAAAGGTAAAACCTTAGGATTGTCAAAGATAGGCCTGGTAGCATATTCCGACGATATTGCCATCATAGGAGACAATATTGAAATAGTTAAAATACATTGTAAGAAGTTAATGGATATTGGATGCTGCGGGTAAGGTCGGCCTCAGAATAAATGATAGTAAGACGGAATATATGAAACTCAACAGAAGAGACAGGATGTATATTGTATAGACACGGAGAAAGTATGAATGTAGATGGACATATATTCCACAGGTTTCCACAATTTAAATACTTAGGTGTCCTCTTAACTCAGGACAATGAGTTAAAAGTAGAGATTTCAAAAAGGATACAACTGGCCAACAACTGCTATTTTGGTTTGGGAACCCTGCTAAAATCTAGATCAATATCTCTAAATTTAAAAATAAAAATATATATGACATTAATACGTCCTGTCATCCTATATGGGTCAGAAACATGGGCTCCAAGAAAGATAAGAGGAAATAAGATTGGACACCTTTGAAAGAAAAGTTTTAAGACGAACCTAAACTATGGACCTTGTCTCGACACAGGAACCAAAGAATGGAGAATTCGAACCAATGAGGAAGTATATAACTTGTTCCAAAGACCAAGTATTTCAAGGGAAGTTGCAAAAAGAAGAATGATGTGGGCAGGTCACGAGTGGAGGAAAAAATAAGCTATGATAAACACAGTAATTAAAGAGGATCCGAAAGGAAAAGACCACTAGGCAGACTACGCCTCAGATGGGAAGACGGTGTGAAGAGAGAAGTAAAAGAAGTAGACCCAAGAACAAACTGGAGAGAAATAGCTGAAAACAGAATAAGGTGGAGGGAAATTTGTTTTACGGGATGGTCTTCAAGGCCGGACCCCCCCCCCAAAAAAAAAAAAACATCACGCATTATTAGATGCAAACTGTTTTCTGATTTGTATAAAACATTTTGTTAAGGCGACTGCCAGGGCCTTATTTACACTTTTTGCGCCCTGGATCAACAATATTTGTACGCCCCCCCCACCAAAAAAAAAAAATTAATCCCTTTTAGATTCTTAGTGGAACGATGAATGTATTGATTTTACAATGGTGTGTGTTTTTTTTATTTTTTATTTTTGTGTCTACGCGATAAGTAGTCGAAATAATGCTTCGATTTTCAACTTCAGTATATTGTTCGATGGGAAAGTGAACATTGTTGGTGCATTGGGGAGGTTTATTTAAAATCCCTAATAGTTATTTAAAAGAGCCTGGAAAAACAACATAAAAATTAAGGAAAAACGGGAATTTTCACTCAAAATTGGTTTTCCACAAAATCGATTTTGATTTTTGGTGTGACTCTAAAAAAATGAATGTATATACATGAAATGTTCACTGGTCGTTTATATTTGCATTTTGTATACACGATAAAATTTTCAAAATATTTTGATTTGTTTTGAACTGTTTAGAGACATTTATTCAGTTTACAATTTCATTAGTCTTTTTTTCTATGAATCTCAATAAAACTTTATTTGTAGGGTAAAAAAGTTTGAAAATGTAATACAAGGCTCCTATACTATATTGTTACAATGACATTTGAAAAATATTAAAAATCATTAGTCACAGTTTTTATTTATAAGCATTTAAAGTTCAAATCTTGACTAAATACGGAAATACTACTAAAATTAGCAAATTATTTTAGTTCACATACATATATCTATTGTGACCTATACGTCATACAATACTACGACGACAGGATGACTTTCGTCACTTGCGGTACCCAAGTATAAAATAATTTAAAACCTAGGTAATATTTTATACTTGGACTTATAAAAAATACAGTACCTCTTTTCAATAATGTTAATATATTACAAAATACAATAATCCCAAATGAAATATAATATACGTATAACATATTACCATTGGTTTTAAATAGGTACCTAGGTACCAGTAAAAATAGTAGTAGGTATTTATAATGAATGGTACCTATTGGTGTAATATTATTAATATTCTGTGAATTTCTATGAATAATCAATATAGGTAGGTAATAACTATTATTATAAATTATTATTTATTAATAATATAATTAATACCTACTGAAAAGTTTTTTATAAGCTCATACTAGGTTGCCTGAAATTTTTTTTTTTAATGTTGCCCAGTGATAATTCCTTAAAATATCCACAGTACCTATTATAATTTATAACAATACAATTTGGCTTATTTACATGGTAGGTAACAAAAGGTAGTAGCAGTAACAAATCAAATAAATTGTGATGGTGTTTAACCATATACCTTAACCGTATACTCAAACCTATAGTCAGTCTTGAGTAGGTAGTATTCCAATGTCTGAATACAGTATTCAGAATACTTTTAATTTAAAAATACTTTTTCCAAAAATATTCTGAATAACTTTATATAAATAAATACATTTAAATGAATTGTGGTGGTAATACCAAAAAACACGAATAAGGGAATTTATGGGAAATTTGGGGGGGGGGGTATAAGTAATTTAGGGGTACCTCTAACTTAACCCCTGGGCCCGTTACCACTGACTCATTATTGTAGTAATACATGATATGTTAAGTTTTTAGTTTATTTTGGACCTCTAAAGTGATTCTAGAATCATATAACTCTGAAAAAAATTTACATTACCTATAGTCATATTTATATGAGTACCAGCTACACCATCACATGCTATAGTCTATAGAAATAAGTACCTATATAAGTGTATAAACTTATAAAGACATAATATTACTTTTGGTTTTTAATAATGTATAAGCTTCAGCATGTAGACCACTATAAGCGTACCTATAGCTGAAAATTGTATTATTTTACCAAGTACCTACTTAAATTAATTGAATAAATAATTGGTTCTTCAAACATTTTGGATCTCATAAGGTAAATTCAAATTATCCATTCAAGTAGGTACCTATATTATTTTGCTCATTAAATTAATGTTTTTCAGACAAAACAAAATATGATAAAAGTTTTTATTTTAAAACAGTTACCTATGTGGATATGTATAATGACCTCAAAAATATTGTTATAATTTAATATGCTTAATTTTATAATAAATAACAAAGAGAAGATAATTAAAAAAAAAAAAATAATAAAAAATATAGTCTAAAATATAATATAATAGAAAACAACATTTTAATTTTAATATAATAAAACAGAATTATTTGCAAAGTGCTTTTTAATAAAGGAAATTCCGTGATTTCCATGAAATGCAAAAGCAATATCATTTGTTTGTAAATTTTCTTCATTACAAAATTGCTTTAACAATTTTGTTGCTACTCCATTATTCCTATACTTAACCATCACCCATAATTTTGATATGCCAAATTTTACTGCAACCAAGTTTTTTGAAAGCTGACTATTTTGATAAATACATGCATTTGTTAACGGCTCTATTTCTAAATATCCAATGATTTTGAATTTAGGATCTACTGCTAAAAATATTGTATGGTTTAAATTATTATTAATACTTTTTTTAGAAAAATCAATTTCTAAATGTATAAAATCTTGTATATTCTTCAATGTAAGTCTAAGGTTTAAATCATCACAACTGTCTGTAACCTTTATTATGTTGAAAATAAATCCATTGACATTAATTTTACTTGCTATGTTTACAGGAAGTTGGCTCTTGAACTGGAGTTTATGTAAATTTTTATGTAAAGATGTATGCAATGAATCATTCCAGGAAGAAGGAACTTGAGACGGAAATATTCCACAACGACAAGGCTTTTCAATTTTTTTTGGTTTCAGTTTTTCAATATCAAAAACAGTAGTATTTTGATTGTCATTATTAAACTTTTTATTCTTAATTTCTGGAGAAATTATTTTTATTAATTCATCTGAATTAGCTTTTAACACGGATTTAAGTTTATACTGATGAATGACTTTTTTATTACCAGTGCCTGTACAAATAAACATATCATTGTATTTTGATTTAATACATGATTGTTTTGGAGTTTTGAAAGTTTTCAAATAAGGTGAAAAATAATGATCAGTTGATTTTGGATTTTTTCTTAACCAGTAACGACTTCGATTTTTTCCCATCTGATTATCATTACAGATAACATCTTCAAATTGATTTGCAAGATTATCATTTATAGGTGCCAATTTATCAAGAAGGGGTTCATTATAAGATAAAAAACTTAAATCTTGTGCCATGGTTTTTGAAATTTCATTTGTTGGCAAATCATTTATACATGTTAAACTACAGTTTTCTAAAATCGGTTTCTGAGATGGTTCATTAATATCCATGCAATCACTAATAGGGTGTAGTAAAGAATTTGATTTATTTAATTCTCTCATACAACTAAATGAATCAAGTTCTGCAGTTTTAGTTGATGAAATTACAGCATTGGTATTATCGGTTGCAGGTTTAAAAGATTTTAAATCATCAAGAGAGTTAAATTCCAAAAAATCATTTTGTACATTTTGATCAACAGATTTATCTTCTCCATCATTCAATATATTTTCACATAATTTAACTTGTTCCAGTTTTTTTTTTACACATTCCAACTTATTGTTTAACACATTTAAATTATTCAAATCAACACCTACGAACGGTATAGTTGAATAATCTTTTTTATTTGATGAAGAGTCAATACAATTGTATACATTTGCTTTCATAATATTATGAATATTTTTTATAATATCATTAACATGTTTTGATCTTTTAGTTATTTGTTCATCATGTTTATACATGCATTTATTCATTATTTGTAATATCTCATGCTTCATACTATTCATGTATGGTACAATATTTCCAGAAAACATTTTTAAGCTCAATTCCATTTGAAAAATGTCTGATAAATCAGTGTTATTCAGATGGTTTTCATCAAATGTTGTATTTTTATTAATATTGTAAATGATCTGTGAGTTATTATATATAATTTTTGTATTAAGTGTTTGATTTTCTTCAATTTGATTTTTTGTTGAACTTTTTTCACTTTTCAATGAATTATACACTAAACCTATTTTATTTGATTTGTTTGGATTTGAATTTTCTGTTTTATCAAATAGCAAATTTAATTGAAATGCATTGTTTTCACTTTTTTTATTCAACGTCGTGTTTGTTGTGAAGCTAGACTTCTGTAAAGTAATTTGGGATTGATTTGTGTATAATATTTTTGTCACATCATTCAAACGTGTCTGAGAAACTTGTTTTATATTATTAAAAGTTGAATGTTTTGTATGTTTGTCAGTTTTTTCTTGATTTTCTATTAACTGCAGATTGTTATAGTTTGGTGAGGCAGTTTTATTTGATAAATTAGGAATTTCAGTAAGACATGGTGTGTTCACAAGATCTATCTTATTTGATTTGTTTGGATTTAAATTTTCTGTTTTATCAAATAGCAAATTTAATTGAAATGCACTGTTTTCACTTTTTCTATTCAATGTCGTGTTTGTTGTGAAACTAGACTTCTGTAAAGTTATTTGGGATTGATTTGTGTATAATATGTTTGTCACATCATTTAAACTTTTCTGAGAAACTTGTTTTATACAATTAAAAGTTGAATCTTTTGTATGTTTGTCAGTTTTTTCTTGATTTTCTATTAACTGCAGATTGTTATATTTTGGTGAGGCAGTTTTATTTGATAAATTAGGAATTTCACTAAGACATGCTTTGTGTGAAGAAATAGTCTTACCAGAATTTTTATGACATTTTTTAGCCTGGCTTGATTTTGATTTTGATTTAATGTCATCATTAGAATTTTTGAGATTAATTGATACTCTTTTAGAAGTTTTTTTCCTGTAATATTTATTTTTAATGCTACTTTGAAGTTTACTTAAAGGACTACTGGTTGCCAAAGGTTTGTTACTCATCACTTTACAATAATCAATATCAGAATCAGAACTAGAAGGCAGATGTAAGACAGACGGCATATTATGTACAAATGTATCATGTTGAGGTAAAATTAACAACTTTGATCCTTCAGAATCTGAATAATACATTTCATTTGTATCTGAAGAAAAACTATAATAGTCTTTTGCATCAGTTGGTTGATCTACTGCAGTTTCATATATTTTGTTTACATTTTCAGTGTTATTTGTATTAAGAGTTATATTCTTAATTATGATGGATGATTTACTGGTTTCACAGTTTAAAGCATCTATAGATTTTAATAGTGATCTGGAATTATTGACGACACTCATCATTTATAGATAGGAATGAAATAGATTAAAATATATATGTATATATGCTGACAAATTATTGTTGAAGGTCTTCATTAACTACATAATATCATCTTTATCATATGTATTTGCGTTTTCTTATTAATTTACATGTCTGAAAAAATAAAAGAACTTAGTTTACATCTAGTTATAAATACTATACTACCTACTTAAATAGATAATAATATTAGTTTGTGTTTATTGAATTTGATAAAACATTCACAAAAAACTCCTAAAGTATATTTTACATAAAAAAAATTTCAAAAATTATATAATATGAGAAATAAAGGTACATCATGATCAGTGGCATAATTAAATTCAGGGTAAACGTCAGGTGATCAGGTATGAGTCTGTGGTTTTTTAATAGGTACTCCACTTTACACTGTATATGAGGTACTGTAAAATAATTTATAATTTATATTCAACATTTTATGCAACAAATTTTTTTAATAACAACATAATTAATTATTATTATTTATTAATCGGTCTGGAGCACCAGCCATTTCTAGGGGGCCTAGGTTAAGTAGAATGTACCTAAACAATTATTTTCAAAACTTGACATTTAAAAAACTAAACTTTGGTTTCGAATAAGCCAACAATATCTCAATCCTTTATTTTGTCTGTTTGTTGAAGAAGACATTCACTCAACTTATAAACAAAGATGACATTATTAATATACCTATTAGATCTTCCTGCAAAAAATTTACTAAACTAACTACTAAGTACCTACCTATTATTTTTATAATAATTTAAAATTCACTTAATTACCTAATGTTATTTATGTTGCTTGAATTTTTTTTCTATTTTATGAATACAAATAGTAAAAAAGTAGGTAGGTATGTTGGTTTATAATTTTTTGCTTTAATAATCATAGGTAGACAGTAATAAATAATTTTAAAGTTATAAATTACCTATTTTGATAATTAAAAATCATAAATATTTTATTGTAATATTAGGTTAGTGATAGTTTATTATACTATAGTGATAATTTATTTTTAAAGTTTTTAGATGGGGCCCATTAGGTCGGCAGAGTCCTACCCCCACCTCCACGCGGTGCCGACTGGAAACGGAATTCCGGTTCCGGCCAACGGGGGAGGCACAGAAGGCAAACTGTATAAAACCGAACACCGGCGGGTCAACACCAGCGACCAGAGAGGGCCAACATCGCCCTCCAACTACCGACCACACGGACCGAAGGCTCGATGCACAGACGACCGGGAAGGTTAGACGGGGACCCAGCGGTTAGTAAACTAAGCGGCTCAGTACCATCATCCGAAACTGCCCCGCAGCGGCAGGCATGCCCCGGGGCATTAGTAGGACGCCTACAGCACGATTCGTCACCGTCCGGGTGATCGCGATTGTTGGGAAAGGCCGCTAGTCAGAACGCCTCAAGAAACCGCCGACCGGTCATCCAAGTACCGAGCAGTACGACGATGAACGAACGGAGGAACCAGAAGGAAAACTGAACAAACCAAAACACCGGCAGGCAACAGACCAGAGAGGGCAAACACCGCCCCCATCCGACACCAACAACAGCCGAGGACGGATTCCGGGAGACGAGCGGAAAGCAGCAGAGCAACGACAACTCTCTACACCCCGAAAACTCAGCGAAACTGCCGACAGCGGTTCGAGGGCCCGCTGCGCAGGAGTAGAACACCCACGGACGACTGGTCATCGTCAGGGTGGCTGAGGAAGTAGGGGATGCAGATGCAGACACCACGCGACGCAGCGATCCAATCGGATCCCGGAAGACGACAGTACACAACGACGGAGACAGAAGGAAAACTGGAAAACCAACAACGGCGAGGAGCACCCTCCAGTACATCTCAAGGAGAAGGATGCTCAGAACGAGACTCGAGGCCGGCTGGCTATCAAGCCGGGCCAAGAAGATACGAACATGACTTTCCGACTGGCGGGCACCAAAGCCGGGTCGGGAAGTCAAGAAATGCGAACAGCGGGCCTTAAGCCAACAATGTAATCTTTTTCTTAATAAAATGTATGTTAATAATTAGTTTCGATGTGCACCCACTAAGGGACTAATCAATGGTGTAAAAATTAAATTATAAATGTACTACCATGTATCTTAAATTTAATAAACGATGGCGGCGTCGCGGAAGTAATGCGAAAGCTGTTCCCGCGACGTCGTCGGTTCAAAACTGAAAAAAAAAAAAAAAAAAAAAAAAGATGGGGCCCATTAAAATTTACAGTGCTTGGGGCCCAATTATTAGCCAATCCAGCTGACACTGAATATATACTTAAACACTAGGTATTTATAAGATAAGATTTAATTTTTAATAGTTTATCAATTACGTCTCAGGCATCAATTGTTATGATTATAATTCTTATGGACAGCTAACACAGCTACGATTGTTAAATTACATTATAATTTATAACATAAAAAAGTTTTGTAGGGGATCTATCCCCCCCCCGGTCACCACTCACCACCATCACAGCCGCTCATCACGATGACTTATTTCCAAGACCTGAACTTAATTTATATTAAATATTATTAAGTGTAGGTAATATAGATATATTTAATATAATAAAATTATAAATATAATAAATACCTAATAATTATTTTATAATTATATTATTGTTCAATATTCAGGTCAAAAATGATATTCCCAATAAACTAATAAATAATAAAAATGTGTTATCTTGCATGACGTACTAAATAAATAAAATGTATTACCTGTAATTTCCTTGAGTTTGTAGATTACGACGTGGATTATACGCCGGCAGCAAATTTGAATATTTTAATGACATCTTGGATAATAATTTATTACAATATTTTATTAAATTATAGGAAGTACCAAAATTCCAAATACATACTACCTATAGCATTTGATCATGGTAAAAAAGTAAAAAATACAAATCCATAGACACTCTACTATATTCTCATCAATAAACGATGATTAAATGGTGTCATAATTACCACGGATTAATATACTAGTATATTAATCCGTGATAATTACATCGGTGACTATATTCGTGACATGATTCAGACAACCATTAGTGACCAATTTTAAAAAATAGGTACCTACCAAAATATAAAGATCAACTTCATTACTTCAAATAATTTTTAAACAGTTCATCAGTTCATGTAATAGGACAATAGGTTATGGTAAAGTATTGTGTTTTCTTAAAGTAAGTTTTGAAATCGGGAATTTAGTACCTATATTTTAATAGTTAAATACGCTTTGTTTTTTTTTTTAACTAAATTTTAAAACCAATTACCTATTGATAATACATAGGATAAATATATCGTAATATCTAAAAATACGATTTTCTGAAAGAAACATTTTCGTTATAGGCAATAATACAATATTTTTTTTTATTTTAGAATTACTAGTAAAAACTATGATGGTTCGTCAATTACAATAATACAATATAGTTATTTGACACAAAAGTGTTATTTTCAGAATACATGGAATATTGCAGAATATAAAATATTTCATAACTGTAAGTTACAAACAAATTTTGTCCGATGATAATTTCATATTGTTGATTGTAATTGAATGTAATTTATATTTTATATCTGTTAATGTACAGATAACATGATTATTGAACTCCAGTAATATTTTTGAAAAAAAAACTTTAGTTTAGTTGTAATGAAGTAACTTTTAGATTCTGAGCGGAGCTATGAGTATTGGTTTTACAATGATGTGTGTGTTTTTTTTATTATTTGTGTCTAAGTAGTAGGTAGATAAGTACACGATAAGTAGTCAAAATAATGCTTTGATTTTCAACTTCAGCAAAACCAGTTTATGACAAAATCAATTTTGTTTTTCAGCGTAACTCAAAAACGAATGTGTATACTTGAAAGTTGAAATGTTCCCCAAATTTTTACATTTGAAATTCGAAATTTTGTTTTTTTTCTATAAAATATATCGATAAAAAAATTTTCGATGAACTAAAAATATCTTAATTCGTGAAAATAACCATCATGACGTATAAATGGCGTATAAAAATATATAAATATATAAATGGTGTATAAAATAAAATATTATTATGCTAAATGCTCACACCACCGAACGTCATAATTATTATTATGGTGATAACAGTTTGTGAATTTGTTACTAGAGAGCAGTAGTTGTACAGTTGTAGTCAGACGTCAATCGTCATCGCTGATAAGGAAAATATCGAAACCGCCGACCATCTTTCTGGTTTCTATAAATTAGTTCCTTCTTTCTCGTTTTCGTGCCGTCTGACCACTGACGTACTTACGTGCAAGTCTACCTCAATCATTTTATAACCGGACGACGGACGTATTATTATTTATTATTACAACTACCTAAGTTACAACACTAGTTCTACTCGCGGTTACCTTTTATTATTAATTGTATTTGTTTGTTATTACATTTAAATTCCGTCTTACGATTAAAAATGTTTTCCAAAGTATGTAAGAATATCATCAACCAAGGAGCCAGACAGTATTCTTCAAAGGTAATAAATTACATTTTCTATTACGATACTTACTACACATTTGAAATAATTTAGTTATTATAAGAGCAATTTTATTAACGATATTTAATTGTTTTTAATCAATAGTTCTTCGTAGTATTTGATACATAAATAATATATTATTTTATATCTACCTTATTGGGTTGGGTGCACAATATCGTCCATGACTCCACCAAATCATTTTAAATTGACTTTAACTTATTACCTACCTAGATACTTCAAAGTATGTATTGTGCAGAGAAATATGTTATATAATATTTTTTATAATCTTGATAAATATTTTATTTCGTACATGTGGTTTGTATTTGTTTATTTATATTCCGTTTATTTTCATATTCTAATAAAGTATTTATTCGTGCTTTGATATATTTATAGAATGGTTTAAAAGTCACAGTATGTGGAGGTTCAGGCGGCATTGGTCAACCCCTGTCGTTGTTGTTAAAACAAAGTCCACTCATCACCGATTTAGCTATTTATGATATTGCTCCAGTAACTCCAGGTGTGGTTGCTGATCTAAGTCACATGGATACCAATTCAAATGTAACCAGTCATGTTGGTTTGGACAGCTTAAAAGTATGTATATGACGTATGAATTAGTTAATATTTAATAGATAGTTGGTACCTAATTAGTAATTAGGAAATTACATAACTTAAAAAAAAAAGTAAAAAAATATAGGTATTTTGGTGTGCAAAAAATTTGGTAAAATATGTACTTTTATAATTAATAACATAATAACCCACTTATAAAGAAAAAACAAATCAAATATACAAAATTCAACAATTTTATAAGTAGATACTTATTTATAATTTATTTTTATTTAAAACTAATTCATATTTAACCAAGTTTTAAGTCTTTAAAAAGGATTTAAATTCATAATACTCCATCCCTAATCAAATATGACCTTTATGATCTGTGGATAGCCCTGCTGATAATATTGCATCACTTAACATTATGTAAAGATTGTTTAAATTATATTGACCAACAAAATAATGTACATAAAATTAATATCTCTTTATGCCAAATTAAAATTAAATGAAGGATTTGATTGAAATTATATTGGAAAAACAATTTAAAAATTTAATGTTTTGTTTAAAATGATTAAGAAAATTATTATATTTTACAAAGTAAATTGATAATTTATAATAGGTAGTAATTTTGATATGTACTATTTGTATGTCGTTGCAATTTTCAAAATTATATGACAACATTTCATAAAAAAAAAGTTGTAATTATCTAGGTAAATAATTGGTAAATAATATAATTAAAAATTGACCTTGTTGTTTACTGAAATCCCAATTAATTTTTAAACAAATTTTTAGAGATTAATTTGTTTAATCATGAAAAATTATGTGCTTATCAATAAAGGTACAGTTTCTAAGCTGTGACTAGCCATTGCGGTCAGCCACAACATATACTGCTCTCAGAGCAGTACAGTCGTGATTTTACAATTTTAAGGCTGTTCCATAGAAGACCAGTTGCTGTGGCCTGTCATAAAGATTAGTAGTAGCTTGGAACTCGTACCTTTAGTCTTTTTAATAACCTTTTTTGTTTAATAAACTGAAAAAACATTTTAGTTAATGGGTACTAAAGTCTTTAAAATTGTATAAAAATTATTTAATAGCCCATTGTTTTTATGGATATAAAATTAACAGAACGTTTTATTCCACATTCCACCTACTTAAGTTTTTAATTACCTTCTAATTTGTTGTATAATACTATAATTATTGAAAAATTTTGTGTGTGAGAGATTGTATATATGTTTAGTATATAAATAACACATTGTCCTTAGTTTTGTGTATATTATTGCCAATATGTTAGTTTCTTGGCAGTAACATATTTAATAAATTCTAAAATTAAATCATTATTTGTTTCAAGGTAAAGTTTTGATTGCCAATTTTTTACTTCCTAAATTATGTTAGCTAATAAGGTGTCAATCTTTAAATTTGGTATAATTTATTTTTAACTATTTATATTCATATACCTATTTTATTTTAATAACATTTAAATTTTTATGTATTTGCCTTTTTTAGGATGCAGTAGCTGATACCGATGTTGTTATTATCCCTGCAGGAATCCCTCGTAAACCTGGTATGACAAGAGACGATTTATTCAATACAAATATTTCAATTGTATGCGATATTATTAAGGTTATTGGACAAGTCAGTCCTCATGCTCTTGTTGGAATTATATCAAATCCAGTAAGTACTTACTTTTATAATTGAACTATTTGTTTAGTATAGAGAATACTAATTATTGTAAAGCAATAAGTCGGTAATAAACTATACCTAAAACTAAAACCTGGTCATTAAACATTTGTTTTATAATTTATAGTGGTAATTTTCGCGTTCAGTTTTAAATTTTTAATTCTAATATCAATACCTACTAGTTTTGTTTTGAGTAAAAAAAAAATAAAAAAGAATAAAATAAGTATATACTTATTAAGTATTTTTTTGAATTTAAGTATATTAGTACAAAAACTATTGTTAGTAGGTATTTATCTATTTATTTATAATCAAAATATTTTACTTAGAATCTATTATACAACCTTTTCTCCTAGCCTTGTCAACATTTTAAGAAGTTTTCAAAAATGTTATTTTGTACTTATGTTTTTAAAAGTACTAATATTCTATTTTTTTTTATCTTTATTTTTCAATAAATTAAAAAAAAAATATTGCATTATATTCAGAGTACTAACGATAATAAACAATAAACTCTGGGTAAAAAGTGTTGTCATCATATTTAACATATACTTTACCTGTTTTACTCAAAGAAGTATCATTTTCACAATTTGTCGGTACATCCAAGTTATAGTTGACATCTACCACTTCTATTTTCTTTGTAAGCACTTTGCAAATCATAAATGCTATAAAAATATTTGTAAATTAAAGTTTAAAATCCATCTGATATGATATGAATTTGATATACCTCCATCTGAACTTGAATGTCTGTGTGCATATTTAGGACATGTTGAAAAGCAAGCACCAATTCCAAATCTTGACCTATATGTCTTCAGCCAGTCAATATTATTTTGTGAAATACTCAAAGCATTTGTTGGTGAAGTTGCATGATATAGTTTGTCTCTCCTTAATTGATAGCTGTTGCCAACGTTAATTCCTCTTTCCATAGTAAATACATACCATAAAGTTGAGGGTTGTTCACTTTTTTCACTTTTAGAATCTATAGTCATCATATGATATTGATATGTTAATACTCATTACAATATTCATAAACCTATTATGTTGATTAAAATATTATCAACTACATTTTGAAATCACTTTCCTGATGAAAACTAGTTTGAGTAATATTTACTATTTTATTTGTCTTTATTAATTGATGCTTACTTGAAATACTTACTTAAAAGATGATTTATATCCAAGAACAATGATCTATTTGTGTAGTCATTATTATAGTCATAATCTTCAAGAACACTTTGTTGGTAAACTTTTACCAATGGTGATGCTTGAGAAAAATCACTAAATAAGAATATAGGTACAATGTTAATTCTATTGAACTAATAATATAATTTATTGCGTGTACATTATAATATATAAAATTAATTGATATGTGCAAATTCCAAAGTGCTTTTGTTTCAACCAACATCTAGTATATTGCCTAAAAGGACAGCAAACCCGCATATAATGTCTCTGTCTTACAAATGATGTTGTAAGCAACATACGACAGCATAGCTAATATGCGTTCAGCAAAACAAATTTTGTGTCATTAAATTTAATATTGGAATGAATAATTTACCTATTATTAAACTTAAAGGTAAGAATATTATCTGTTAGTTGACTGATAGTTTAATTTTAAATTGTGTCATAACTATGTTAAATTTACAATTTTTTATCATCATAACTCGTTTTTAAATTTAAATATATCAATAAATGTCAATTAAGTTGAACTAGATAATATTCTTACCTTCAAGTCTGATTATGAATCAATTCACTCTAATATTAAAACAGGGATTAAAACTGACAACACAAAATTGGTTCTGTTGAATGTAGTGTTGAGATACTTACCAATCTAAAGGCATTATTATTATTTTAATCGGCTTTTAGAAATTTAACTAATTCCAAACTGGGATGAGTAAAACACTTCTTAAAAAATTATAATTATTTTATTAATATATAATGAAAATCAATCAGCACTCTTGTAGCATATTATTAGCTACTGATCCAGTTTATTTCCCGGTTGCATATTCATAATATTCATTAAATGATTTATTATCTAAATACAATTGTGGTATGGTTCTTTGTTCTATATTTTAATGGATTTATAATTACTATAAATATATTTTATTTACTTTGTAGTTAGAAGATAGTATTCTATATTATTGTCCATCAATATTAAGTTATTATGTCCAATGTCTCAACAAGACTTGATGTACTACGTACGTCGTACTGTGTATTCAAATAATTTAATTTATCATTTCAGCCATGTTCAAAATATAAATAATAATTGATATGTTATGTTTAATGTTAAACAAGATAAATTGTGAACTCATTTATAAATATTACATTCTCTCTTATATTATGTACACAATAGTTGAAAAATATTTTATATCATAAAATATAATGGCATATTTTTAATTCACACCTTTCCAATATTTTCTCATTCAAATGTGTTCCCTATGTTGCATTGCGCTACGCCGCTACCACAGTTGCAATATCCAATTACTATCTACATTTTCATTGCTTCCTTGTGTTCAGTTCATTATTAATTAATATTTTAAACTTGATTTTGTTTATCACTAGTTAGCATTAGTAACAGTGAGTTATAAGATATTTTTATTTAATGTGTATATATGTTTATTCTATTTAGGTCAACAGTGCCGTGCCTGCTGCCGCAGAAATATTGAAGAAGCTTAATGTTTATGATCCAAAAAGGTTATTTGGTGTGACTACATTAGATATTGTTCGGTCTAACAGATTCATTGCTGAACTTAAAGTAAATATTGTCTGTTGATATAACTTAAATTATATATTTGACGTATTACATAATTAATAAATACCTATTTTTTTAAGTGTCTTAATGCTACCGATGTAAATGTTCCTGTTATCGGTGGACATTCCGGACCAACAATAATTCCCTTAATTTCTCAATGTACACCTCAAGTGAAATTTGATCATGATGTGCTCGTGAAGCTTACAAAACGCATTCAAGTAATATATGTTTCTTTTTTTTTAATTAGGTTTACTGAGCTTAATCTTTTTTACACATTTTTTATAATAAATGCATTAATATTTATTTTATTTCAGGAAGCCGGTACTGAAGTTGTACAAGCTAAGGCTGGCGCTGGTTCTGCAACCCTGTCTATGGCATTTGCAGGCGCCAAATTTACAACTTCTATGTGTAGAGCGATTCTTGGCGAACCAAATGTTGTGGAATGCTCATTCGTAGAATCGACAGTGACCGACTCACCATACTTCAGTACACCAGTTCTTATTGGGGTAATTTCATACTTGTGTTATTATTTGTTATATTTCATTCTGAATAATTTTCATAGAAATTTATCTTCCGCGACAATATGTTTATATTATTTTTTCACTAAAAGAAAATATTTAATTTCATTGAATGCCAGTTTAATCCAACATAATTGTTTTGTTGTTGGGTGCAAACATTGATCTTTTACAAATTAAGATAACAGTTTCATTATTGCAATATTGCATATTTATGTATACATAGGTTTTACACGTATTTTTCTGAATAATCTTCATCCAATTTGCAATTAATAGCTATACTTTTACCATCGACAGTGTATAATTTTTTGATTTTATTCTTTTCTAGAAAAATGGAATTGAAAAGAACTTTGGCATGGGAAATCTGTCAGATTTTGAAAAAGAATTACTAAAGGCTGCCTTACCCGAATTGGCTTCCAACATTAAGAAAGGAGCAGACTTTGGCAAGAACTACAAATAAATGTCATTATCAATAGATTACTATAATTCCGATCCATTGTATTATTTACAACGTACTGCTACTTAAAAGTATTTAGATTGAAATTGTGCCCTCTCTTCTACATGACAAAATTTTATGTTTACCGAATATTATTATGTACAAGATTTAAGAATTTGCTCGAAATTAAATCATAAAAATTAGACATATGATTCGTTATTTAATATATATTATAAACTATGTCACGATAAATGCTAGTTTACACAATAAATAATAATATTTAGGAATACTAAAACATATTACAATTTGTTATTATTTTTATTTGAATTCTCATCTATGCAATGATTGAAAAAATGTTGTTGGATGTACACAAACCGCTTAGCCCAGTTTTCTTTCGAATAAGTTTCTTTTTTTTATTCAATTTTTTCCCAAAAAAATGTGACCCTAACCAGTTAGGACCAGTTTAAAAACTGTTGTTCTAGAGTACAATTGCATAAAAAAAAAAAAAAGTATACATACTAATTAGTAATTAGTAGCCAAAAGTAATCTGCCGTCAAACTTTTCCAATTACCCCTATCATCTACTAGACATTTAGCATGTTACTAAATTAGTAAATTATAGAAGTGAGGAATTATATTTTACAAAAATATATAGACAATTTGAACACACTAATTTATTTAAAAAATATATCATGTTTATCAAACAAAATATTCAATTATAAAATCAAGAAACTAAAATTATAAATTATAAGTTTATTTTCATTTAATTAGGTACACACAAATATCAATTTAAAAATTAATCATCAATTTATGATAGATATAGTATATTAATTATAAATATATATATATATGTATGTTATTTTTTTGCTTCCAACTTACTTTTTTAATTGAATAGATTTAAAATAATACAAAAAATATGAGCAATAATATTTTAAATACTATTGAATTTTGTTTTAATATTGATCTTAACAATTAATGAGTTGAAACGACTATAATATATGTTTGGGTATTTTCAATAAATATAATTTAAACTTCTATAGGTATACAAAGTCAAACTATTAAATTTGGAAAAATTCAGTCAAAACATCATCAGTAAATTCGTATAGAGTACACTTGAATCATTTGGTAATAGTATATCAGTATTAATACTTATGGCTAATAACTCATTAAGAGCTGTACTCTTTGAATACATTTCCGGCTATTACAAGCTTCTGTATTTCAGACGTTCCTTCATAAATCTCTGTTATCCGAGCATCGCGATAGTGCCGTTCGGCAGGCATGTCGGAAACATAACCCATACCGCCCAACACTTGAATACACTGGTGCGCATTGAATGTTGCTGCTTCGGACGCAGCTAATTTGGCCATTGCTGCTTCCTTTAGAGGAAAAATCATTTTCATTTTTTTAAATCAACAAATGTTATTAAATCTATGAACCTTTGTGTATGGTTTGTGTTCGTCTTTTAAAACGGCTGCTCTCCATGTTAACAGTCTTGCACTTTCTACTCGTAAAGCCATATCGGCAATTTTATTCTACAAAAAAATATGTTTGGTATTTTTCATTGAAATACAGCCTTCAATTAATAACAGCATTAATTAAAAACCAATAAATACCTGAATACTTTGCAGTTTAGATATAGGAGCGCCAAATGCAATTCTCTTGGTTGCATATTCAACAGCAACATCGAGAGATGCTTGCGCTATTCCTAGTGCCTGAGAAGCAATCCCGATGCGGCCAGCATCTAAAATAGTGTACCTTATTTTAGAACAATAAATACAAACAAAACAATAAAATAAAATTACCCAAAGTCATCATTGCAATTTTGAATCCCATACCAGGTTCACCCAAGATGTTTTCTTCTGGGATTGAACAGTCTTCAAATATTAAATTACTAGTAGACGATCCTCGTATGCCAAGTTTGTCTTCTTTTTTACCCAGTGAAAACCCTAAGAATAAATGTAAATTCATCATTCATACTATACATTTATAAATCTCGAAACATCTATATTATACTTAAAATACTACGATTACCTGGATATTCTCTTTTTACTAAAAATGCACTAATTCCTTTGTGTTTCTTAGCTTTGTCGGTAGTTGCAAATACGACTGATGCTTTGGCTTCGTGAGCATTAGTAATCCATGATTTGGTCCCATTTAAAATCCAATTTGATCCACTTTTAACTGCCATAGTAGAAGCTGCACCAGCATCACTTCCATTACCTTTAAAAAAAATTTAAAAACTATAATCGATAGTACATCTTCCACTTGAATTACTAATCAAAACTGAGATAATTAAATACTTAATATAATCAATCGTTTATATTGCGATCGATTTTAAAGTTTTTGTAGAAACCAAAAAAACCACAATATACAATATTAATATATTATTACAATGTATTACAATATATTATATTTCACTATTAGGTCAATATTAATTGGGTTGTATATTATTATTATTATTCATAAAAATAATTTGTATGGATCTTTTACAAATAAGGTTTTGTCGTAAAATTTTAGGGTGAGAAACACTGGTATATCTGTTCACTAATTTATATCATTAAGATCTTACAACATTATTTTATATTTTGTTGATGTTTGCTAAAATAGAAACATTGTACCTAATTCAAACCTCATTCAACTATAGATAAAATAATATATTAAATCAAGAATGATAAATAAGTCGTTAAAGGTCAAATTTAATCTAAATTAGTATTAGTAATTACTAATTACCATCTTTTTTGTAAAAGGTTGAACTATTAACCTGAATTATGATCCAAATAATTATTTTGATTTTATAATTATTGCTTGTTTATATTAAAACATTAAATATCAATAACCATATTTATCTACTGATTAAATCATTCGACAATAAAATTAAATAAATTATGAAATTCAATTGTTTCTGCATAATAAATCATTTATTTATACAGGAACTAAACTTGTCTGAAATCTATCTCTAGAACATAAAATTTTGTATTTAATTCAACAATAAATGTTTTATTTACCTGGTTCACTGAGACCAAAACATCCAATTTTTTCACCAGTTGTAAAAGGCCTGATGAACTCTTCTTTTTGTTGATCATTTCCAAATTTATTAATTGGGCCAAGGTACAAAGAGTTATTTACGCTCATAATAACACCAGCTGATGCACAACCTCTAAAATAAACCAAAATTATTGACATTCAAATAATGGATAGAGGTAATAAGAAGGAGGTGTATATTCTTATGTGATTTTTTATGTACCTAGAAATTTCTTCTATTGCAATAGCGTATGCTAAATAATCAAGACCAGTACCGCCTAATGATTCTGGAATATCAATTGCCATTAATCCCAGTTCTCCCATTTCTTTAATCTGAATTACACAAAAATATATTTCAATAATGTAAACACAACCTTTAAATGTAGAAAAATGTATTTCTATCATTATATACTTATAATATTACAATTACCTAAACGATATACCTAGTCAATGTTATACAAAACTTCTATTATAGCCTATAGATAATATATTATGACATTTTATTTTATATAGACATTTAAAATATTATCTATCAATCCACTGCACCTATATCTTGTCTATATGGTATGAATAATCTGAGCAAATTACTGCAACAATACCGTGCTTGAAATGTAACAATAAACTTTGAATTCAACTATAAATGCATTTTCAACATCAACATAGAATATTAGAACGTATAAATAAATATAAATGCTCTGTCAATTACATAATAATATAAACCGTATAATCATCAGTATTTATCATAATATGGACATTAAACGTGCATAATGCGAATAATGAAATAAATGACCTAACCTACTTCAGGTTAATTTTTTTTTTTCAATATTATATAATTGATCAACACGAATGCAATTTCAAAACAAAGGTATGAAATAGTCCATAAGGATAAGATTATTTCCAAATAAATTTCATTGCGTTAAATTCTATTACTAACAGACTTGTGAGTACCCACTAATTTACAAAATTTATCAATGCTGCAGATTCATCAATACCTACATAATATTACCTATAGGTATTATGCTTTAACGTTTGTCACAAGTCACAGACCTGTTTCTCGGGAAATAAATGTTCCTTGTCCACTTTGGCTGCAACAGGTTTCAGTTCTCCTTCTGCAAAATCTCTACACGTCTTATACAACAAGCGATGAGTCTCTGACAAGGACGACATTGATGCTATTGACCTCTTCGGGACGCCGTTCAGAGCAAATTTCAACCCTACACAAGGTAACAATACACAAAATAAAATTACACTCGATACGCCTGCAGTGTTCAAAGCATGACAAAATATTATACTCTATGTTATTTATTTCGTATTAATCGATTCGACCTTAACTCATTATAAAATATTGCGAGAAAAAAAAAATTATAATAATATCGTTTACCTGGCGCTGTCAAAAAAGAAGATAATTTTAAACTCGACATGATGGTTTTCTTTTATTTTTTTGACCGTTTTTGATTCAAACAAACTTATTATATTGAGACAATAATTTCAATTATAAACTGTATAGCAATTATACACGACGAGTCCTAGAAGTGGACGTGATGCAGTTTGAAAGTCACTCGTACAAGTCGACCGGCCGAATGAGCCTGCTGCTAATGTAATAATAATAATATTATGAAGTAGTTTAGAGTTGTAGTGCAGTACCAATTATTCAAATAACATTTCCGAGAACATTACGACTGTAGTAGTACGCCTGTTCAGAAAATAATTAATGGAAATCACGACTGCGCTCTAGTAGTAATAAAAAGCGTTATACGTCCTTAATTTTTATTTCCCGTTCGGTTTTATCACGAACAACGACGTCTTGCATTATAGGGGCGGCAACACGATACGACGACGATATTTTATCGAGCAAAATAATAATTACAGTAGGTACAAAACGAATCAAAAATACCAGCTTCGTGCATTTAATATCCCAAAATCTAAATGACCAACCAGCCGATATATTTTTATACAAATGTTGTTCTTTCGACATGGCCGAGTGTAAGATTTGTCACTCATAAACACCTCCTGGCCAACCCCACCAAAAAATTATTTTCTGTTTACGTGCTTGATACTATAGTGACTTACACTTACTTGGTGACCATACTGTCCACACTATATACAGACAGAATACAGGAACAGTAGGTAGGTATACAGGGCGATTCGCCAAGCATGCTCACCCCTTTTTTCTTCGATAATGATCTGAGGTATTCAAAATCTGATTTTTGGAATTTTTGAACTTAAGCCATATATGTATAATATTACCAAGGACCAACTACCAAATTATTGTGATTTTGTGTATTACTTAATTACCTGCTCAAAGAGTGTAGTAGTTGGTGCAGTGGTATAGACAAATGGATTTGGAAAATTTGAGGGCTACGGTGATTTGAGAATTTTTAGAAGATAGGTACCTAATTAATATTAATTCATCAACATTTTAATTTGTAAGCCACATGGTTCAATACAACCTAGATTCAATATAACATATCAATTTTATATTTTAAACGTTTAACTACCTACTCGTTCATTTTTTTTTTAAAAAAGGCACCAACAAAAGAACGTTCGAAAAATGTTCCTTCAAATAATTTTCAGTAAAAAACACGGGTTCTCATTTGAAGAACAGAAGTTTTAAATCAAGAATTTAAAAATGGTCTTTGAGTGTAATATTTAAAAATTCCAAAAATCAAAATTGCAATAAATTCATTAAATGAAAAAATTGGGGGCGAGCAGCATGCTTAGAGAACCACCTTGTAATTTATATATAATAGTCAGGTAGTATTTAACAAGGCTGGGATTTTAATACGTTAAAAAATCTCAAACATTAGAAAAATGCATTTCAAAATGTATTTTGTACAGTTTAATAAATAATACAAGTATATACAGCGGAAACGTGTAGTACAATGGTGAATATTATTTGAGAAGTCACTTCAAAATTATTAGGTTTAACAACAACGATAGAATAATAATAAATTAATGGTCATGGTACTTGAGACCACTAAAATAAGGTATAATATTATTATCGCCACTTTAATTATTCGCAGATTGCAGATAATATGATAACGGTAGTTAGCCAATAATACACATTATTTTCTATAACTACTTTCAACAATGGTATTAATGGTAAGACTATAATTACACCAAGAACCAAAATCGATTGTGTCGAAAATCGGATTTTACGATAAAATTCCAGTTTTTCCTTAATTTCTATTTGTTTTTCCCGGCGCTTTTGGACCTACTAGGTACCTACTGGGAATTTCTAACTCCCCAATGCACCAACTAGCAGTATTCGGACTTATCTAGATAAATTTACCTAAAGATGAATGTCTAGACAATTATTTGTTCATCTTTTATCTTATCTAGATAAATAGTTACAAGGTATCTAAACGCTCATCTTAGATAGTTTTTTTTATTAATCTAAATAAATTCATCTAGATACATTTTTATTGATAGAAATCGAGAGATTGTACAAACGCATTTTTAAATATTTATACAGATTCTCAAATAAAGTTTATGGTTTATAAATAATGTAATAATTTTTATTTATATCATTATTATTATTATTTAGTGCACAACTAAAATATACCTAAATTTAAAACCATTTAAAAAATAATTGTATCTTTTTTTTATCTTTATCTAGTTTAAATAGTTTAATATTAGTTAAGTTATCTTCCATAGTTTCATGTCGTAAATTTGCTAAATGCTAATAGTTTCATAATAGGTCGATTCACTCTAAATTTTAAACTAACGATGCTAAATGTGAACTGCTGATGGTAAATTTGCTATACAAGATGGAGACAATAAAATGTCCGTGTTACGTTTCACGTCCTCTTAAATCGTGGTCATGGCAGCATCGTTCCCGATGTTTCGGACTAGGGTAAAATTTAAATGCCCGCCACATCGGCCAGAACTCAGAAGTACCGCCAATTATAGATAACAGTTCTGACTTATCACTGAGATAGTAATAATTGTTATCAAATGAATAACAACATAATCATGATTTAAAGCCACAGACTAAGATACTATTTGATTGTTCGCACAAGCGTCTAGTGACAGGGAATCCGAATGGCTGCAAGATGGCCGACTTCGTTATCATTATCAGTTATCACAGATTTTATTATCACTTAATTCTTAAAATAATATATTTCTTTCCTTAACCTTATTTCTACCCAAGTTGTATTCTAACTGAATTGTCTTTGAAAATGATGATATTCCAGTTAATTATTAATTAACATTGATTATTTGATAATAAATCTTAGGTTAAGAAAATAGAAATATAGAACAGTACTATACACACATTGATATTCTATAGTAAATTTTATAATGCACAATGAAATATCAAATATTGAAATGGATATATAAATGGTAGGTAATATGTAAATTCATATAATTCATAATAGCTATAATTAGTAAATAATAAGTAATAATTAGTTTTCAAATAAGTTATAATTGTTGTATGTTGGTCCTACTTTATACGGTATCTCTGCTCCTTGTCTGACCACATGTCCACATAATATTGTATAATAAAAAAGTATAATTTTGTGAGTACAATATTCAATATGATTAACATTTATAGTAACAATAATATATTAGTTAAATTCATAATAGTTACCTAGTTAATAATAATTTGTTGTAAAATAAGATATAATTATAAAAAAATAATGTTGTGAGACGCGAGTACAATAGTCAATATGATTAAAATTTATAGTAACAATAATATATTAGTTAAATTCATAATAGTTACCTAGTTAATAATAATTTGTTGTAAAATAAGATATAATTATAAAAAAATAATGTTGTGAAATGCCAGTACAATAGTCAATATGATTATAATTAATAAGTTAATAAAATGCATAAAATAATAATTGTGAAATAAGTAATAATAAAATAAAAATAATAATTTTGTTATAAAATCAGTCGGTGTTTAATTATATTGGGGTAGGTCTTCATTTTGGTCCACATCCAATAATAGAGATGCAGCTATAAAATTTTGCTCTACTTGGTTTGGTACCTCAATGTTTAATGTGGTTTTTTTTACATTTCTTTTAGATTTAGTGGAATGAAAACGGCGTTGAGGAGTTATTTTTAATTTGTTTGGTGATGTTTGGCAATGAGACGGTGTCAAACTTTTAAATGGTTGACTATCAGCATTACTTCTTAACGCATTTAAAGTAGGTGTAACCGAAGTAAGACATTTTTTTAAAATGCCCAGTTCTTCTGAACTAGAAATCCCATCTAAAATATTATTAAAATATAATCTTACTTTATCTTTTTCATTAGCTAGATCGTTTGATGGTTTGGTTGAATTATTTAACTGTGACACAATGATAGTTGTTTCATTGGTATGTTCCAAATTTGTGAGTGTGTTATTAGTAATTATATTTTCATTATTCTTTCTTTTCAGGTATTGACAGACTAAATGTATGTGTTTACACATGTTCCATTTTATTGCACTATCTATGCAGGAACATGAGTAGCAATGTATGCATGACTGACAATCAGAACAATTTATTTGGCAGTCACAGTTGGATTTGAGATTGTTCACCTCATACATTTCACTAGTTTTTCCTGATAACACATTCCAATTATTGTGATCAACATTTTCAAGCACCATTTCTAGAGACATTAAAAGACTTGTCTTATGCCTTTTGCGCAACTCCTTTACTTTTGAGCATATTTTACCTTTATGTAACACAATAAGCCTATCAATAGATTTGTCTCTAGTATATTTCATTAAGGCATGCAGAGATTTATCAAGACGCTTCACTTTTTTGCCTTGTAAGTAAATGTGCTTTAGAGTCCGATGCATTCTTTCAATATGCATATTTGTGTTAATTCCAGCATGTATTCTGTGGCAATAAGCCCATGACAGCACAGATGAAGCATAATAACTAGTAAAATAGTTTGAGAAATCAATAGTTTCGTCATCTTTTGCCATTCGATTTATAGCATTGTCGAACATTCTACTAAAGGCCTCAGCATCTTGTTCTACAAGTAATGTTCGTAATACTTTATATATTTCTACCTGTTTTGTCTTGTTTTTAATTTTATTTAAATTTTTTCTCCAGGCACGATCTACATGCCAAGTACAATAGAGCCTATGTTTCGGTGGTTCCATTTCAACAACCCAAGCGTTATAAAAACTTTCAGCCATATCTGACATGAAGACATTGGGCTGAATAATACCAGTTTTGTCCCTTATCTTAGAAAAAAATATTCTTAATACCACTTCATCAACTCTATTACTTATCATAAAACAGCATGGGAATCCTTCTCTTAAATCATCAAGAACCATGATTGTTGTCAAATTAAAATGATACGAATTCATCCCATGCGTTTCATCAATACAAATAACATCTTTTCCAAATTTGCTTAACATGGATTTTTGATGGTCGTTCATTATGAGCAATAAAAAGTCATCTTCTTTAAGTTGGATATAATT